TTAATTGAGATGATCGTTTATTTTCTACATGATGTTTGCCTGTACTATGGAGCTAGATAAAAAGAAAGGAAAGAAAACAAATCCTATCAAGAGAAAGCAAGGAGACCTATTATCTGCAGGGTGTGCAAAATATGTCAGAAAATAATTCTACCCTGAGTGTTGAGGATGTCCAGTTAATAAAAAAAAGATCAGCCACTCACTAAGAGAAAATAATTGTATATATCTATATTTTTCAAAGCAAAAAGACAATCACATCTTACACTAAATGGGACACATTAAACTAAGCTTTAATAATCTTAATGCCGAAGGAAACGAATCCATTTTCAGATCATACAATCCACAGTAATAAAAGGAAATCATCAAACTAAAAACAATTTTAGAAATGGCTGCAGACTCTCATTTAATTAACATGTAGCAGATCATATATTTATGAGGAAGTCAAAATATTTAGGAAGCCTATAATCCTGTAAGCCTTAATGTGGTATAAAAACAACAAATAAATGCAAAGTGTTACTGTTACACATGCCTGCCTGATCAATGGTTTTCACATATTGATCTATAAATGGAGTTGACAGTCTGTGTTGGCTGCACATTTTCCAAGCAAAGCTATTTTTGTACAAAACCAATACGGGCAATTACCTTTGTTTGAGATGCCAAGTCTTATCAATTCAATGTGATTTAGTGTCATTTTAATTAAATATCAGGATCCACTTCAGAACAATTTATACAAACAAAGGTTCAAACCTAACTGTAAGCTTGATTTGAAGTAAACATGGACAAGCTCTACAATCTCACAATATTTCTCAAAAACTCTGCTAAACAGAAGGCTTATATTTTTAGTAGCAATTTTTATGTCTGTCTTTTTGGCTAGCCACAACTTTGGCAAGTATCCTATAATCACAGAAGAAACAAAAGAAAATTGTTTCCTCTTTTTTTTCCTGATAATGTATTAAAAATAAAAATGAACCAGCAGCCTGTTAATAGAAGCAAAGCCATCTCATATGCTAGCGTGTAAGAAGGCTCGACCTAAGTATTCATCTGAACACCAATAAAAACATATGTCCCTGTTTGTGATGGCCATGAATGAAGTAATGCACTTCTGCAGGGTTTACAAAATGGAAACAGTGAATATTCATACATGTTGCTGCTTAAGACATCAGCATTAAATGCCACAACAGTTCTCACTTGCTAAACCCTATGTCTGCAGTTTACTGATTTGGACTATTTAAACTCTTCATTAATATCTATTCCAAACTGTCTAGCAGGGTAGAGAATCCCTCTTATAAATAACATCAAAGACACATTAAGCCATTTGCATTAGCTATTTGCTGGGTTGCACATTAGCCTTTTTAACCTTTAAAGAGGCACACTTCACTTGCCCCCATTTATTCACACTAAGCTGCCTGCTCCTCTGGTTAGCACATCCGGGTAAATAAAGCAACCCAATTTTAAGTGATGACACTCTGGTGCTCTGGATTAGACTACAAATCACTAAAACCAAAAAGTGGTCCTTTCCCTCCAAGCTAAGGGCTCCAGATCTTTTTTTTTTGAACGAGAATTTTTTTTCCAACTATATCTCCCCAGGAATTCTGGTGTGTTACTGTAGGATAAGCATTGGACTGCTAACCACAAGGTCAGTGGTTCAAACCCACCATCTGCTACTCAGAAACCCTATAGAGGATCACTATGAGTCAAATCAACACCACAGTACAAAATAACAACCACAACATCTTCCCAAGATTAAACTGCCCATCTCTACAATAATTTCCATGTAGCAAAGTATCTATGAATTTTGAATAAATGAAATGGTAATATTGCGTCAAAACAAAATAATACGCACCACCAATAAAATATTTTTGGAGTATCAATACTTGATTTACTGTGTAATTTCCCTTTGACATTCAGATAACAAAAAATCTTAATTTCATGAGTAAATATGTATGTCTCTAATTAGGGACAAATGCATGTCTGTATTGTAATTTCAAAACACACCTCTATTTAAAATACCAACAATATAGGATCATGTGACATAAATAATTTTATACTGTGTTCCAAATTCACAATCATATTAAAATATTCTAACTGAACAGAATGAAAGAATGGAATTTATAAATTAACAACAAAATGACATAGTTAATTTGACTATAGAACATGCTATCTTATTTATAGTGAATTTTGTAATGAACTAAATCGTTGTTGATGTAGTTATCAGGTTCTTGTGTTACTACAGATTGTAGTTATTACATAGTATATTGACATAATTGTCATACTGTTGTAGTGGTTAATTGCCATCAAGTCAGTTCTGACGCGAAGCAACCCTGTATAGAGTTTCCTAGGAGTAACTGGTGGGTTTGAACCGCTGACTTTGTGACTCGCAGTCCCATGCTGATCCTACAGCACCACAAGAGGAATCCAGATGTTTATACTAGTGACCAAATAACAAAATATCCAATCTATGTTAAATAGCATGAATGACAAGCATATATAGTCTCTGTTGTTGTTAAGTGCCATTGAATCAGTTCCAACACATAGCAACCCTCGTTGTCCGAGGTGTTAAATCTTTGCTGGAGCAGAAAGCTTCATCTTTCTCCAGTGGAGCCACTGGCAGGCTCGAACCTTGGACCTTGTGATTCTCAGTCCAGTGCTTTTCATGGAATCACTGTGCTCCCTGTATAGTGTCTAAGTACACTTAATTTGGGGGGGGGGAGGTTAAATGCGTTTCCATTACAATAAATCATGCTACATGTGAACTACATTTTTAATTTACATCTCCTTCCCAATTCATAAGTTCAAAATCTTCCCCCTTGACCTCACCCCACCCTCTAGCTTCTGAAAAATCAAATTCTTAGTTTAGCTTCAGTAGGAAACTTTAACAGGCTTGTTTGAATAAATATGCCAAAATACTTAACATTCTGTCAGTATCTAGTCAGAAAATTGTGCATGGAAAAAAGAGATGAAAAGAGCTGAGACAGAAAGAAAATTAGTGCCATGGCAAGCTTTCAATACAGTATCTCTGAGCCAAGTTTTCTCGGTGAAATGACATATTCTCACTAAAATACTCCTTTTATATAATTATGCACTGAGCACACATCACGAAAGTAACTTTTATTTTTGTTCCTTATCGAGGAATACATATTGCCCAGGCTAAGAATGCGGAAACAAAAGCTGGGATAATTATAGCTAATTTAACTTTGGAAAACTCTTATTCTCTAACAGTCCAGGATACAACCCCCCAAACTAAAGTTATGTAACAAGGTAATATCAACAATGAGAAACTGCATGATAAAATCCTGCCCAAAAGTGAAAAATGCTAATTTTGTCTCATTTAGCAGCTGGATACAGAAATGCTCATTAGTTTTAAGAGGGTTAATCCTTTTAACTTTTGCATATTGATATGCCAATTATGCCTAATTGTACAAGAGGCATCAGTCAAGGTAATAGTGCATAAACACATGAAAGTTATTAAGTACATCCCAACATGTAATAAAGTAGGTGTTAATTGGTAGCTGAGTTCTGCGGGCTATTGAGGTGGATAATTCATTGAGAGATGGATCACTTGTAATTTCTCTCCATAATTCCTTTTGCAGTCTCATGCTGTGATGTTTTCATGCTTGTCAAAAACAACTGCGGCATAGTGCCTTTTGTTAAACACAGCCAATAAAATATGTTAGGCATCATTAAATATACTTAACTTTTAAACTTTTTCAAAGGTACAGTTCTTACTTGATAATACATTATAGAGATTCCAATAATTTACTCTAACCACTGTCTCAAGTTCATAGTTGAGGAACATTTTAGCTGGCTTAAAAGCAAAGTCAGAATGGCAGTGTTGCGCCTCCCAGCAGACAATACTTTTGAATGAGAAACCAAGTAAGGGAAAATGAATCTCTCATTAGTTACCTTATCTAAGGAAGCATTTCTCACTAGTAGTATATAATCACTGGCTTCCTAATGCTAAATTTGTCTATGACACCTGAAGAAAGAATGATTAAAATATTTTTCCAGCGCCTGAGATTGCTTGTGGGTTCCTTTTGTAGCTGAAATTTGAGTGAAAAATGAGGAATAAATATAATCAGTAGCATGCTACAAAGCAAGTTTATCTCATTTAATAACTCAGTTAGGGACTGAATATTTCATAGGCCCCCATGATATTAACCGAACACTCAATTAATAGCGCACATATTTCTGCAGAGTGACTGGGACTCACAGCCTGTCCCCAGCTAACCTATTTCTCGCTTTTGCTCTCACTGTGAGAAACAAAATAGATCTGGGGTCCAAAAGAGTGGCTAACATTGCATAAATAATTTTGTAACATCCTATGGCCTCAGCTGCAAGTTACCACCATTATGGAAGAAAATTAACCAGAGGAGACTCATCGCAATCAGTGTGTTTAGTGGCTCAGGATGCTTGCAGGGGCAGGGACACAATTGGCAGTAGAGTTCATCTGTAACTATTTTATTTCAAATCTTTCTAATGACACATTACTGAGACAAAATGGCTTCCTCTCCAAGCCTTAAATAGCCATACCGCTTCCAATCGTTGAAGCCTATCCAAATCAAATCTTAATTTCCAGTATCATACATTATTGGGAAATTTTAAGAGATTTTTCTTTCTTTTCTTTTGAGGATTTTGTTTCCTGTTTTATTCTTAGCTAATTTTAGCTTCTGGCGTTTTGAAGTGATGTACTGTATTTGGAAGTACAAGCACCGCATGCTAGCATAACCTCATTATTTTTATGACACTGAAGCATGATAGTGGAGGCCCTTAAAATGAGTCAAAGGTGCTCTTCAGTCTAGCTCTAAATCCACTTTATCACTCTGGATTAAGCCCAGCTCTTCTCTTACAACTGGGGGTATTATTATGACTGTAAGTAGGCAAGCTAGAATGCAACACACAGATAGTTTTCACGTGCACATTAGGAAAACAAATAAAACAAGGCCAATTAGCTTTTTTATTTTCAAAATTCTGTGCACTAAGGAAGTTGGGAGTATTTTACTTACAGGTTCAGTGACCTTCCCAATATCGGTGAGGATCATGGATTTACTTTGGCTCAGTCTATCGTGCAGGCTGTTGGCATTTTTGATTCTCATTTGCACAGCTCCTTTGCCTTGGCAGGTGGAACTCAGCGGTTCCTCGGAGGTATCAGAATTTGTAGATTTCTGCATATTACAGGGTTATCCTAATAAAACATAAAAAAATTATTTTACTCCAAATATATAATTTGGCATGGAAAAAATTCTAAGTAGAGAACGTGTTTATTTACTATTAAAATATAAAAAATAAATAAATAGAAGCCCATTTGTAACAAGGCAATTACTTTGTAGTCTTTTTATTAATCAGAATCTTTATATGTGAAAAGTGCTAAACAGATGTAATGACTTCCAAAGTTGATAGGCTGTGCACTTATTGCCTGTGTAGTTCCTAATCCCATTAAGAAAATCCTAATGACACTTTTCATCATTTGTCTCTTCCCCCCCCACCACCCAGACACAGTACCATCAGCATTGTTTTTGATTGGATAAAAATCTACATGCATAAGGTTACATTTAAGTGAGTAGTTAGGCATCAAAGGAGCTCTGGTAGCGTAGTGGTTACGAATCGGGCTGCGAACCTTAAGGTCAGCGGTTCGAAACTACCAGCTGCTCCGCGGGAGAAAGATGAGGCTTTCTACTCCCGTAAAGATTTACACCCTCGGAAACCCTATACAGGGTCGCTATGGGTCGGACCCGACTCGATGGCACTTAACAACAACAGTTAGGCATCAGAGCAAAATAATTCTCATTGTCTATCAAACATGTTGTCTCAGTCTCCTTAGCAGTGTCTCTGTGCTATCCCCACCTCCACTCAGAATAGCCACAGGGGGGAAATTAAAATCCTTTTGTCCACTGCCTTCTGCCAACAGGGGCATATTTGATAGCTTGGTTGAGCGTACTCTTTATAAAGAATTTGAAGAAAAAGAAAATTGATACAGTTTATTTGTTTTAATACAAGGAGTCTGATTAAGACAGGGAAATTCAATGTGGAAAATTTTTAAAGAAGTAGCAGTGAGGAAAAAATAATTTGGAGAAAGAAGAAAATAGAACAAAACTATGGCAGCATCGGTAGGCAAACAGGAAGGGCTCCCCTAGTTTATAACACTTTTCAACTGCCCCTCCTTACAAATTCTTCAACTCATTAAAAACAGTACAATTGTAAAGCAAAGACAACTTTTAATCTTCTAGAAGCAGATAACATCTAGATTGAGTACAGAGGGCTTATCTATGTAAGCATTCCATAGCTGACACTGTGCATGTAACACAAAATTGTACAAAATTTTGACCAGTCAGTTAAAGGAACGAATGTAAGCCTAAAGAAGAATGATATTTTACAGAGCCAATTGTGTTGGAGTTGCAATGCTGTTGGACAGACAGTGGAATTAGAGTCATTGCAACGTTCAACTTAGATAGATTTCAATGATTAGAACATAAAGAAAGTATTTTCATCACTAGAAAAAAATGTTATTTAATAATCAATACAAAAACAACTGAGTAACAAAGCAGAGCATAAGTTAATGCTTATTATTTACTATGTGCCACATTGGACTCCTGGTGTGGCACTGTAGGATCATCAGCACAGGGCTGTGAACCAGAAGGTCGGCAGTTCAAACCCACCAGTTGCTCCTCAGAATCCCTATACAGGGTTGTTGTTGCTAAGTGCCGTCGAGTTGGTCCTGACTCACAGAGACCATGTATAGGGTTTCTAAGAAGTAGGTGGTAGCTTTGAACCATCAATTTTGTGGTAGTTGTCTAGTGCTTATCCTATAGTGCCACACCAGGACTTAAAACCACCTTATAGAAGGAAAAATTAGTATCTGAAAGACTTGTTTGCCCAAGACTCAGGGCATAAAGGAGTGGAAGAGTAGATATTTTATTCCAGAAAGGGAAACACAGATGTTTAATAACAAACAAATAGATAAAGGAGTGCATCCACACAAGAAACTACTAACCAAAAAGAGAGCAGACTGTTGATACATGCAAATAAATTATTTATGATGAGTGAAAGAAGCCAGTAATAGAAACTGTACATATTGTCATATTGTATGATTATACTTACATAATATTACAGAAAATGCAAACTAACCTATAGTGATAAAAAGTTAATCAAGAAATGCCTAAGGATAAGATGAATTCTGTCTTAAAGAAGCTCAGCCAGGATGCTCCTTGGAAGTGAGATTAGCAAAGCTTTGTCTCACATACTGTGGTTCCCCAAGGAGATGGACTGACACACTGACTACAACACTGGGCTCTAACAAGACGACAATTGTGATGATGGTCCAGGACCAGCAGTATTTGGTTTTGTTATATATAGGGTCACTGTGGGAGTCCTGGTATGGCACTGTAGGATAAAGCACTGGACCTGTAGGACAAGATCAGAGGTTCAAACCCACCAGCCGCTGCTCAGAAACTGACTAGACGGCACCTAAGAACAACAAAAACAAGAATGGATTGTACTGAGTACAAGAAAACTTTTGGAGGTGATGGGTATATTCATTATCTTGATTATGGCGATGGTTTCACAGGTGTATGCATATACAAAAAATAAAATTAAATAACACACTTGAGGTCTTTTCACTGCATTGTACTTCAGTTATATTTCACAGAGTTGTTCACTGAATATTCATTTTAAGAATTCTTTAACCGGAATTTTACTTAGATTTTCCTTTTCATGTGACTACATAAGAGATGAAAGGAGCTCTGGTAGAATAGTGGTTATAAGTCGGGCTGCTAACCTCAAGGTCAGCAATTCGAAACTATCAGCTGTTCCTCAGGAGAAAGATGAGGCGTTCTGCTTCCATAGAGATTTACAGCCTGGGAAACCCTATCCAAGGTTGCTATGAGTTGGAACCAACTCCACGGCACACTACCACCACCACCACATAAGAGATATATCATTAAAAAAAGATGTCTAATTGAGAATCAAAGACCTCTTTTAGTAATAGAATTTTGAACTAATGAAGAGTCTCAAATCCTCTTTATTTCAAAGAATTATAGCAATATCTATTTTAGTGAGATATTAAAATGTATTGAATCTATTAGGTAGATTCAATTGGCATAAGGAATTTTATCTCTATATCTAACTAGACTAAGTTCTAGATTGTTATATAATTGTTTTAAAAGATTAAATACAATTGCATGTATAAAAGTGATTATTTCTCTGTATTCTCCTGGTCAAATATAGGATAATGAATATGGTTTAGGTTGTATTATATGTATTCATTACTAATTATTCAGACAATTAATTTTTATTAAAACAATGGAAATTAACCATTTTAATGAACATAGGTAATCAATGAATCACTGACTTCTATGATAGTTGATGTTAGCGTCCATAGAGTCAGCTCCTGATATATGGTGACCACATACACAACAGAATGAAAGGCAGCCCACTCCTACCCTACATGTCTTCATCATCAGCTGTATATCTACTATTAAAGGCATGAGTTTTGAATAATGATGAATAATGGAATGAAAATCCAGGGAATGTCTTAAATTCATGGTTAATTTTGTCTCTGAGGGTCACTGTGGGATCTTACAAGTCAATTGTATCCTTGGAAAAAAATGATAGTGATTGACAAGGGCAGCAATGTGTACTGCTTTGACCTATTGGGCCTTGACCAGCTCTGATATGCAGAAAGTCTGGGAGCTCAAAAAGTATTACAGAATATTTAAGTAGATAAGCAACCATGTAAATGCTTTGGTCTGAACTGATACCCAATGGACTGAAGGAAATCTATGATCTAACATACAAATCTTTTCTAGGAAAATCTGAGGCCTCCTGTGAGTGCCTTCAGGCTTTGATCTTCAATATTACTCATTAGATTCAAACTAAGGTTGGTGCTTTGTGTAATACTGATGGGGAGGTCATACAGACTGAAGCCATTATCTTTTGATCAAATGCATTAAGCTACAGTATTTACATGACCTAGCTTCTTGGCGTTTATAGGGCACTCTTCTTCCTCAGAGTCTGCACAAATTTCAGTGTCAAATTAAAATTTACATTCTTATATTGATTTCACAATCAACCCATAATTTGCCTAGTGATGTGTTACTGTCAAAAGACTGAATTACTTAAAAAGCCTCCTATCTAGCTTCCCACCTCTGTGTTCTCTGGGGCTGACTGCAGAAAGCATTTTCAAAATCTTCCTTCTTCAGATCTTTACGTTAGACTGATCTCTTTCCCTACCACGGTGTTGATGTTATTTCTATTAAGTTCCTCATGCTTTTCTCTTCTAATCATCACTTGAATTTCATTCTGACCCCATCCTGACCTTTTACATTCATTACACTCTGCTTGTTCCCTTTATTCAGCTCCCTTTTCTATAGTTTGTTTGAAAATATCATTCACTTGTAACATTCAATTGTTCTCATATTTGCGATCTGGGGTTTGCTAATTTAGTAAGATATTGTATTTCTCTGAGGGGCTGGGTAAAAAATAAAATAAACTTATTCTCAAAGATTGGGGGTAAAAATTAACAAAACCATCATTTACTGAGAATCTCATTCCAGGAACTCTATTGGGATGTAGAGACAGCTTTTTGATTATTGCTGTTGTTTTGTTTTTTGCTTTCTTTAAGCAAGGACTTTACACTTTACTGAAGGCAATAAAGACACAAATCAATCAATGAATCAGAATAGAGTTTGATGGGGAGAGGCGCAATAGCATCAAACTCTAGAAAACCTGGAATGTAGAGACTGAGAGACACGATATGAAAAGATCAGACTGGAGTTAAGTAAGGACAAGTTGGGCATACACGGCAAGTTGTAGAGTCAAATATAAAGGAAACTATGATAATAAAAGGAGACTATCAAAATGTGTCGTAAAAGGAAAACTGAAATACCAGGGAAGTTAAAGGAAAAAAGAAATGATAGATTTCATGAAGGAGGTGGCATCTGATATCTAGATGGGTGAGTTTGATCATTTGCTTCCATGGCTGATGATTAACTCCGAGTCCTATTCTGCTCACCAAATCCAGTAGTATCAGGGGCTAGCATTTTCAAGTCCAAGGAAAAGAATGCGAGACTTTCTTTGACATCATATGCAAATTAATGGAGTGCAAGCCAGTGAGTGACAGAATCCCCTACAGAACAGAGGGCAGAGCTGTAGATAAGAAGGAGGACTAGAGGTGAAGAGAAGAGAATCTG